TTTTAGTTAATTAATAATATTAATGTACTTATATATTATTTTGATTATAATATATATACAGGCATAATGTATAGACAAAACAGAAGTTGGATGTACCAAAAACATCGCGATAACTATGGAATATGCAGTGAATTTTTGAATGATGTTGAAGATTTTATTAAATTTGCACAAGAACAGAAGAATTATATGGATGGCGATAAAATCAGATGTCCATGTACAAAGTGTAAAAATCTTCAATTTAAAGATGTCGACCAAGTTGTGTGGGATTGTACGAAAACGGTTTCGTTGCCAATTATTATAATTGGACTTCTCATGGCGAACCTTTCGATCCATCACTTTTACCACAAACAGTAGGTTCATCTCGTAACGTCCCTACCGAGATGAGTGGATGGGGAGACTATGATCAAATGACGTGGGATCAAAGAATGTCATATGATGTATACGGTGCTTCAACGATGCAGTTTAACCCACCACAGCCATTTAACGATCTTCCCGAAGCTTCGACCTCGTATCAACCCGATGCGGATGAAGATCCGACCTTTTATCAGCCTGATGTGGATGAGTATCCGAATTCTCATGTTCCTCATATTGAAGACTTAGCTGAAAGATTTCAAGATGTTTTAAAAGCTGCTGATCAGCCTCTGTATGCTGATTGTGAGGGATACTCTCAGCTATCCGCCGTTACAGAGTTGATGAACATTAAATCTGAATACAGTCTTCCTGAATCTTGCATGTCTAGGTTATTGCAGTCATTTGGAGGAATGTTACCGCGTGACCATAATCTTCCTGATTCATATTACAAAATGAAACAATTAATGTCTCAGTTGGGGCTTCCTTGTATAGAAATTGATGCGTGCCCAGAAGGATGTATGTTGTTCTGGAAGGATGATGTGGCACTTGAGAGCTGCAAGTTCTGTGGTGGAGAGAGATACAAGTCTGTTCCTCATAGACGAAAAAAACCACGAAAAAGGTCTGCATTGTCTAAATTGTTTTACCTCCCTCTAGCTCCACGCCTGAAGAGGATGTATGCTTCAAATGCTACTGCGAAACACATGACGTGGCATGTTGAGCACGAAACTAAAGAGGGTTTGATGTCTCACCCTTCCGACTGTGAAGCTTGGAGACACTTTGACCGTTGTCATCCTCAGTTTGCAATGGAGCCACGGAATGTGCGACTGGGATTGTGTTCAGACGGATTTGCTGCTTTTGGAAAGTTTGGGAAGAAATTTTCATGTTGGCCAGTCATGCTAACTCCTTATAATCTTCCTCCCGACATGTGTATGAAAAGTCATTTCATCTTTTTAACTTTAATTTGTCCAGGTCCCTCGGATCCTAAAAAAAGGATAGACATCTATCTCCAACCCCTGATCGAGGAGATGAAAGAACTTTGGGCCATTGGGACACCAACTTATGATGTTTCAAGAGATCAAATGTTTATCATGAAAGCTACCATCATTTGGACCATTAGCGACTTCCCTGCTTATGGTATGCTTTCAGGATGGAGCACACACGGTCTTATGGGATGTCCAATATGTATGGAGAAATCAGATGCCAATTGGCTCAAATTTAGCGGGAAACCAAGTTACTTTGATTGTCACCGCAAGTTTCTGCCTATGAACCATCGATATCGAAAGGACAAGAAGTCTTTTATTGCCGGAAGAGTGGTACGAGATCCCCCTCCTCCAAGACTTACAGGTGAACAAGTTTTTAACTGGGTTCGACGTTTTCCTACGGCCGTGCAGCAACCCCACGAGGAGCCAAATGGGTATTGTGATACCCATAAGTGGACAAAGAGGAGTATATTTTGGGAGTTGCCGTATTGGAAGGACCTTCTCATTCGTAACAATTTAGATGTCATGCACGTTGAGAAGAACGTCTTTGACAATATATTTAACACGGTTATGGATTTTACTCACAAAACCAAAGATGGTCTTGCATCTAGAAAAGACATGACAATTTGGTGCGACAGACCCGAACTCGCCGTCGATCTAGAATATGTGGGTAAAAAAATTCCAAGAGCAGTCTACCAACTCACAGCCCCACAAAGGGAATCAATATTAGAGTGGCTTGTTTCTCTGAACTTTCCAGATGGCTATTGTTCTAACTTGTCAAGATGCGTGGACCTGGACAAACAAACAATGACGTCGAGCATGAAAACTCATGATGCTCATGTAATCATGCAACGACTTCTGCCAATTGCACTGAAAGAGATGCTTCCTGCAGACGTCTGGGGCTGTATTACCGAAATCAGTCAATTGTTTCAGTCGATATGTTCCGCCTGAGGAGACTAGAAGACACTGTTCCTATTCTGATGTGTAATCTGGAAAAGATACTGCCCCCATCATTTTTTGATGTAATGGAACATCTTCTAATACATCTTCCGTATGAGGCTTTGAATGGAGGGCCCGTCTTCTATCGTTGGATGTACAGATTTGAAAGGTTAGTCATAATTTCATTTATAAATGATGATTTGTTTAATAAGAACATTTGTTTGTTTACAAATTTTATTTTGCATGACAGATTTCTGGGAGATTTGAAAAAGAAAGCGACCAACAAGGCACACATTGAGGCTTCAATTTGTCAAGCATATATTCAACAAGAAACCTCAACGTTTTCATCTTTTTATTTTGAGCGTGAAGTCATCAGTAAAAGAAAGAGACCTGCTCGGAACGATGACATTGGCGAGGATTCATATGATAAAGTAGTTTCTATTTTCAACTACCCAGGTAAAGGTAAAGGAGCTGCGACTTACCGTTACATCGTGGGCGGAGAAATGAAAATTGCACATACTTACATCCTCATGAATTGTCCAGAAATCTTACCATTTTATAAGTAAGTTGAATTGGTAGTTACATTTGTAATATAGCTAATATTTTTTTAATAATTAGAGTGTTATAATAATATCTTTATTTTCAATTCACAGTGAATTTAGAGCGTCTTTATCAGCATTTCCTGATGATGCAATTGATATTGATGCAATGGTGGACTCTGACTTTGCATTATGGTACCAATAGCAGGTATTATATATATATATATATATATATATATATATATATATATATATATATATATATATATACACATTATATATACTATTAGCTAGTAATTTTTAATCATTACCTAATGTTATCATGTTTTAATTTGCAGATCAGGTACCGTGGGATTAACGACCCTCTGTTAGTATCATTATCGTGGGGCCCTTCTTCCTATGCAAAGGTTTGACATTCACATGTGATAAACGGTTATACGTATCACACAGTTGAATATGGAGAAGGTCGACCAACAATGAACAACGGATTATGTGTCCCGACCATCGATTCTGATAACTCGGAAACCAATTTTTTTTGGTTTCTAAATACATAAAACGTTGTTCCGTGACAAAATATAAATTCATTTTATTCTAAATACATAAAACGCTGAAATAATGTATTTTTTTTTAAAAAAAAATGTTTTGTCACGGATGGGATCCGTGACAAATTCAAAATTTTGAATTTTTTGAAAATTTTAAAGCACCCGCCCACTCTATTTCAAAATTTTCAAATTTTTTTCAAAATATTTTGTCACGGATATTTCCGTGACAAAATTTAAAATTTAAATTTTCCGGACCGTTTCAAATACCCGCCCACTCTATTTTGAAAAACCTTTTTTTTAATTTATCACGGATATTTCCGTGACAAATAATTATTTTTTTTTGAAAAATAAAAAAAAAATATTCACGGATGCGTCCGTGACAAATGAAAGACGATGGGGTTCCGGTGAAGTGTTTTGTCACGGACGGTGGCCGTGACAAATCCGTGACAAACAGTCTCACGGATTAATTTCCGTGACAAAAACGTTATCACGCCCCTGGTGTCACATTTTTTCCGTGACAAATCCGTGACAAAAAATCATTTGTCACGGATTTTTTGAACTACCGTCCGTGACAAAATCCGTGACAAACGACGTGTTTTTTTGTAGTGATCCTTAAATATTTTATAAATAAATGTTTTGTATTAACAAAATTGTGTTAAATTGATATTTAAATATAATAATTATTATTATAATGAGCATCACATATGTGCACGTGTGATTGTGTTTCATCATAATAATAATGATGTTTTATTATTTAAATGCTTTATTTGGTCTTTGCAAATAGAAAAATGCGTGGTGTACATCTTTTGTGTACACACGTCTGTCCCCAGCAGACGAGTTATCTGTCCACAGACAACTCTACAGACGTATGTGTGTACACAAAAGGTGTACATCAAGCAAAGTTGTTGCAAATAAAAAATAACATACTGCTGATGCTTATGCATGCGGGTATGTATATTTTATATATTAAATAGAAATTCTTTGATTAAAAGAATGGCTTTTGTTTTAAAAGAAAATCCTTTAATTTATAAATGTACGTGTTGGTTTAGAACAATCGTACCGTTTCATTTTATAAATGAATTAATAGTCATCCAACGAAAGAACACCTTCGTATGAGATGATAACAGCCCTTTTCAAATGAGTCACCTTTTGTTTATGAAATAAAGGACCGCTTTGTATTGCGTGGATACAAATGAAAAAAAAATCAATTTCCGATCTTCTCTTGCCCTACTAAAATACTAATATCTGCAGTATTAGTATTGAGTGTTTAGACCACTTTATATACAATTCACTTGTTCGGTGTTATTTTATCAGTAGCTAAAATAAACCATACACATTCTTTTTATCCCAAAAGTTCTATCTTGTAACCCGGTTACTGTGATAAGGGTAGATAGTAAATTTTTAGGAAAACGTATTTTATACGTGACTAGAAGTGATATCTGGTCCAGCCATATTTTACACCCTTATATTTTACTATTTTTATCCTCAAGTTCTAACAATCTAAAAGTTTACTAATCCGTAAATATGGCCGCTACGCAACGTGATATCAACACCAATTTTCAAAAATTGAAAAAATTTGAAGGTGTGGAATTTCGAAGGTGGCAGAAAAAGATGCATTTTTTGCTCACCACTTTCAAAGTGGTCTACGTGTTAAGCACCCCGAGGCCGCCCGAGGAAGAAGAAAACGAGTCTTTGGAAACAAGCTGCTGCCGCATAAAGTGGGATAATGACGACTACATTTGTCGTGGGCACATTTTGAACGGTATGTGTGATTCTCTATTTGACGTGTATCAAAATGTTGAGTATGCTAAAACGTTGTGGGAATCTCTAGAATCCAAATATATGATCGAGGATGCTTCTAGTAAGAAATTTCTCATTAGTAACTTTAATAGTTACAAAATGGTGGATTCTCATCCGGTCATGGAGCAATTTCATGAGATTCAACGTTTGTATGATCAACTTTTGATTCATAACATGCATGTAAATGAAACCTTTGCGGTGGTTCTATAATCGACAAATTACCACCTTCATGGAAGGAAGTGAAAAATAGCCTCAAACGCAAAAAAGAGGATTTGTCAATGGAGCGCGCAACTTGGTCGCCGACTTCAAATTGAAGAAGGCATTACGTTGCGTGATGGTGACAATGGTAAAAAGAACGACCTTCCAATTTCCTCTATAAATGTTATGGAGGAGGGACAAGTCAAGTGGGACTGAGAAAAATAAAAAACGTCTCGGGAAATTCACCAAAGGTTCCAAGTTTCGAAAGAAGCCGAAAGATAAGAAAGTAGGCTCTTGTTGGGAATGTGGTGGTCCACATTTCAAGAGAGACTGCCCGAAGGTGAAGAAGAAGAAGAAGAAAGCCCAACCGAACGGCCATCCAAACGGTGGCCAAGACAACCAAGGTCAGGATCTTTTTGTAGTTACAAATGATGTTGATAACAACATGATTTTTGTAGCTATGCTTTCTGAAATTTGTGTTGTGCAGGACGATGAATCTTGGTGGATCGACACCGGAGCAACAAGGCATGTATGTAAAGATAGGCAAGCTTTTAAGACTTTAAAAGAGTTGCAAAAGGGGCCGATCTTATACATGGGAAATGACTCTACTATGCAAATTCAAGGAATTGGGCAAGTAGAGTTGGAATTCTCTTCCGGAAAGAAATTAATTCTTAATGATGTGTACTTTGTACCACAAATCCGGAAAAATCTTATCTCCGGTGGCATCCTAAATAACTTTGGGTTTAAACTTAGCTTTGAAGCAAATAATTTTATTTTATCTAAGGGTGGTGTATTTGTTGGCCAAGGTTTCTATTGTAATGACATGTTCAAACTAAGTGTTGTAAATAAAGTTGTTAATTCTGTTTATATGATTTTTTATTCTTCTTTGTGGCACAATAAGTTATGTCATGTTAATTATCGTAGACTTAGTGACATGTCTAAAGTAGGTTGAATTCCTCCTTTTAATATGAACACAGAAAAATGTAGAACTTGCATGTTAAACAAAATCACTAGAAATTCTTTTCAAAATGTTGAAAGAAAATCCAACAAGCTTGAATTAGTGCATAGTGATTTGTGTGATTTCCATAGAACTCCTTCTTTTGGAAATAAAAAATATGTAGTCACATTTATTGATGATTTCACAAGATATTGTTACATATACCTTTTGTTTTCAAAAATGAGGCAATGGATAAATTCAGAGTTTTTAAAACGGAAGTTGAGTTACAAACCGGAAAGAAAGTAAAAAGGCTTAGAACTGACAAAGGAGGAGAATATTTTGAGCCTAAATTTTTTGAATCCGTTGGAATAATCCATGAAACAATAGCCCCTTACACGCCACAACAAAACGGCATAGCTGAAATAAAGAATAGAACCTTAAAAGAAATGGTTAATTCCATATTGTCTAATTCAGGCTTAAGTAATGAATTTTGGGGTGATGCTATGTTAACTGCTTGTTATATTCTTAATCGAGTTCCTAACAAGAGAAATAAAATAACCCCGTATGAACTTTGGCACAAAAGAACACCCCAACTAAGTTATCTTAGGGTATGGGGTTATAGGGCAATCGTGAGATTACCGGAACCTAAACGGAAAACGTTGGGTGAAAAGGGGGTAGAGTGCATATTTATTGGATATGGTGAACATAGTAACTCATATCGATTCTATGTTATTGAACCAAATGACTCAATTGCGGTTCATACTGTTATTGAGTCTAGGGATGCTCTTTTCGATGAGAAGCGGTTCACTTCTATTCCTAGGCCAAAGGATGTTGATCTCAGTGCAAGTAATTCAAATTTTCATGAACTGGAAAAGGGTCATGAAAATGAGCCTGAAATTAGATGGAGTAAGAGGGCTAGAAAGAAAAGTCATTTGGTCCCGATTTCCAATTATATTTGGTTGAAGGATCAAGAGAGACCCTCGTAACTCAAACACTATATTGTTATAGTGTTGAGGAGGATCCTGACTCTTTTGAGGAGGCAATGAGATCACAAGATGCTTCCTTTTGGAAAGAGGCCGTGAACGATGAAATGGATTCAATCATGGGCAATAGTACTTGGGTTCTAAGTGATTTACCACCTGGTTGCACACCAATCGGTTGTAACTAAATTTTCAAGAAGAAAATGAAAGTAGACGGTACCAATGACAAGTTTAAAGCTAGATTGGTTGCACAAGGCTTTAAACAAAAACATGGTATTGATTACTTTGATACATATGCACCGGTAGCCCGAATAACTACCATAAGATTGTTAATTGCTTTGTCAGCCATTCACAATCTTGTGATTCACCAAATAAATGTGAAAATTGCATTTTTAAATGGTGAATTGGAGGAGGAGGTGTATACGAAACAACCCGAAGGGTTTGTAATTAAAAGACAAGAAAAGAAAGTTTGTAAACTTGTCAAGTCCTTGTATGGTCTGAAACAAGCACATAAACAATGACATCAAATGTTTGATGAGGTGGTGCTTAAAAATGGTTTTAAATTAAACCAATCAGATAAGTGCGTATATAGCGAATTTAATGAGCATGGTGGTGTCATTATTTGTTTATATGTGGATGAAATGCTCATATTTGGCACTGATTTGAGGCAAGTGAAAGAGACAAAAGCTTTCCTCTGTTCAAACTTCTCCATGAAAGATATGGGCGAATGATAAGTCCGTATTTAGACACGCATTTGATGCGTGTTGAGATCGGCTTTTGATGGTTTTACAAGTCTCAATTTTAGCTCAAGTTATAATTAACAGGCGTTGGTTCGAGTTTTGTGTCATTTGGAGTCAAAATCAGGATTTTAGAGTTCGGCATTGGCGCTTGAGGAGAAATTGGGATGAGTTGTGAAGCATTTGAAATTGATTTGAGACCTATGCAGGTCAGCGGGAGGTTTACGATGAAGATTTGATGACAAAAGAGCTCTAGGATTGGCTTCGGGATCAAAAGAAGATGAATGAACCTTGAAAACGACGATCAGGATGACCTTCTGTCAATCGTTCAAGAATATCTCTTTGTAGAAACAACTAATGGACATGATTCAAGTTTTATATAAAAGACAACTTCAAGGGCTACAAATAATATGAGGACACCATTACGAGAATATGAGAGCAAGAAGGTGAAAACAGATGATGAAGTCAAATGATCTCTGCTGCGATTTCAGAATGACATCTTCCACCGTTTTGATCATATATCTTGATTGGATGATTCAAATCACATTCGGCAAGTTGGGGTGGATACAGGACTTCATTATCTACAAATGTCATGAAGGAAGTTGTGTCAAATTCAGACTAGAGAAAAGGCTGAAGAACACGGACGCATGATCGTGCGTAAGAGCCAACAACACGATAACATTCTGCCTGCTACGCACGATCATGCGTGGCAGGGTACGCACGATCGTGCGTAGCCCCGAATTACGCGCGGAAATTTACCATATCGACCAGAATTGCGATTTTCCCCTTCTTTCTATAAATAAGGCCTCCCTAACCCCTTTTAGGGGGGACGAAAATTACGGAGAGGCCTAGGAACGAATTTATTCATTGTTTTCCGCTATTTTACTCCAAGACCCTGAGATTATTTGTAAGTTCATCTTTTTAATTAATGAAAATTTATTCTATTCTTCCCGATTCTGTTGATTCTTCAATTATGAATTGCGAGTAGTTTAATTAGGGATTTGGGGTTGATGAAGGGGTTAATCATGATTGATGGTTAGATTCTTGATGGATTAATCGCATGAATGCCATTTAATTTGTGTTTGAATAATTTAACTGTTATCTTTTGTAACCTAGAACGCGCGCTAGAATTACAATTGCTGGTAGAATAAGTTAAGAGGTATCTAATTTATTCTAGGACACATTCACACACACTTAATCGTTCGCTGAGAGATTAGTAGCGATTAAGGGGCCGTAAGCTCGCTCGTCTTGGCAATAATTTAGGATCCTGTCGCATGAGAGATCAGCCTGGTCCCCTAAATTATTGTACTCTACGCCGCGAGAGCGGTAAGAACTTATTATTGATTAGCTAGGCTCAATTAAATTAATTTCAGGTGATTAAGCCTGATCTGCCAGAAATCTGATTACCCTTGAATCAATCCTTGTTCCCTTCGTCGTTAATTAAGAAGAACCCAAATCTTTACTTTTATTCATTTATTTGCAATTTTAATTTTCCAATCAATCAAATCTCGCACAATTTATTTTATGTTCTTTCTTTTTAATCGCCGAATTTAATTAATTCTTAATTCCTTTTTGTCCGTCCCTGTGGAGACGATACTCGTACTTACACCCTTTACTACAATCTATTTTAAGTGCGAGAAAACTCACATCAGTTTTTGGCGCCGTTGCCGGGGACGGTGTCGGTTTTAAGGGTTAATTAATTTTAGCGAGATTTTTTTAGTTAGTTTTTTTTAGTTTTTTGTAGGATTTTTTTTTGTGCCAACCTTTCAGGTATTTTCAAAGAGACATGAGATGAATCCATTCACCTCGATTCCTGGAGGAATTCCTTACCCTCAAACCTCCATGGAATATTCACCATATACGTCATACCCTCCTTACACTCCTCCTCTTCAATACTACACACCTCATCAAATTACTCTCCTACACCACAAAATTATCTGTTCCCTTTTTCATACCCTCCAACCACGCAACCTTGTCTGCCGAAGAATAATATTTGTTCCTTCTGGGGAGGATGTCACCATATATCTTATTGCCCCGTTAAACCTCCATATGACCATCCTTACTGGGCAGCTGCATACCTCGCTTCTTCCTCCCCACAACTCACAACCAGACATGTTTCAACCACTCATACATCCTTGCCAAGTAATGAGCCACAGAATCAATGTAAGAAGACACTTTCAGGAACTTTGTCTGAGTATCTAGAGTCTTTGAGGGAGAGCGCTTTAGCCATGGAGCAGAGCTATTCAAACATCATGAAGCATATAAATACCATAAGGAGCCATCTGGTAGAAGACCAATCCGAGAAGACCAATAGGGATGATCACGTGAGCGAGTCAGACTATGATGGTGGGAATATGATGGATGATACACTTCTTGATGCATTTGAAGACCCACCTATGTTTGAAGATGAAGAAGAAGATAATAGTGCCAAGTTGTTTTTCGAAGAATACAGGAAAAAGTTTGAAACGGTACAAGTTGTAACTGATGAAGTAACTGATCACCGCGATTTTTATACAGAAACTCCCAAGCCATTTGATTTACCATTAGTCTCAATACCTAACGAGGTGGGCAAGGAGCAGATTAGTCATGATGATGGTGATACTGAGGTAGGTTTGGGTATTGAAGATGAGTTGGGAAAAGATGATTACATGCTCCAAGAGAGTGAGGGCGAGTCAGACGATATCCATAATGAAGAAGTCTCGATCCACAAGCAAGATTACCCCTCTTGTACACATGCACCGATCCACTCTTACGAGGTTTCAGATATGGACGTCTTTGATTCACTCCTTGATGACGATATTCCTTTTTGTGTGGAGAGTGACAACATCATCCGGGAAGTTATTGATAAGAACGATGCTAACGAGAGTTGCGATGCCTTCATGGGGAGTGATACAGAGTCCAGAGGAGAGTTGTGAATTTTCATGATATT